TCCTCCAGGGGCGGACTGACAACTCATGGGGCCCCCGGGCAAGAGGGAATCATGAGGCCCCTGTGTCCTTGCCCAAACTCAAAAAAGCCTATGAAAAAGGTACCAGGGGCATCTCATGGGGCCCCCTACTGACCCCGAGCCCTCGGGCAGTGCCCAAGTTTCCAAATGGTCAGTCCGTCCCTGGTTTCCTCCTACACTCCAAGGACATTCTGGTAGGTTAAATAGCCCTAGTATGTGTAGGAATGTGAGTTAGGGACCTTAGATTGTAAACTTCTGGAGGGCAGAGACTGATGTGAATGTACAATATGTAAATGCTGTGTGAAATTGTCAGCACTATAAAAAATACCTGTAATAAAAAAATAAAATGCAACAACTGAAAAGCCAAACTGTCTACAATGAGTTAAACATTTTTTTTTTCTAGCAAACAGAATAGGAGCCTAAACAGGCAAACAATTGTTGGGTAGTGATCTAGCCGTATAATTGGTACACTGTATTACGCCTTCAGGTGAATCCATTTCGAGGCTAAAATAGAAGCAAGCTGTAATGTATACGCCATGAGAGCCGCAGGATTCTCTGAGCCGTGTCCGCCTTTTAAATGTGAACGCGTCAAATGTGAGTGTAAAGGTTATCTGCCGTACAGGGTTCCCCAGTGACCTCATTGTCTGACTTCCATCTGACTTGTAAATGGAGCCGGCAACTCACTTCCCAGGATAATGGACACCTACAGCTTTCAATCTGGGAAAACTCTGTTAGAAACACCTAATGGCGTTTATCAATGAGTCACAGCAAAGATCAGTGATGTTCAATCAGAGTTACCTTGGCTGCAGTATGATCACTGAGGCTGCTTCACATCTGTGCAGTGAGTTTTAGGTGCCTTTTACATGTTTTACTATTCAACTCTATATAATGCACATTTGTATCAAAGATGCAGCAAGCAGGATTTTTTTTTAACACACCACACCTAAAATGCACAAGTGTAAATGGGGCCCTAACAGGGGCGGACTGACCATTTGGAAACTTGGGCACTGCCCGAGGACCCGGGGTCAGTAGGGGGCCCCATGAGATGCCCCTGGTATCTTTTTCATAGGCATTTTTGAGTTTGGGCAAGGACACATGGGCCCCATGATCCCCTATTGCCCGGAGGCCCCATGAGTTGTCAGTCCGCCCCTGGGCCCTAAAGATCTATTTTGATTGGTTATGAGTTACAACACGATGCTCTTTCATTAAGGGCTTGTTTGCACGTGGCAAAGATGGCTGCACCTCTGAAAAGCAAACTGTGGTCGGATCACTTTATAAGAGGCATTTGATAGGTGGCGAGGGGGTTATATGTTGTTTCTTCACCGCCTGTTTTAACCCTTTAACTGTGCTGCAACTGTGTGAATTGCAGGCATTTGCGGGGCAGTTGCAATACAGCCCCCTTCACTTGAATGGGTCATGTTTGGTGGGCTGCAGTGCCCACGGAAGGTGACAGAGGGTTTTTTTCCTGCCACAATTGCAAAGCATCATGCCCATGGAATGTGTACACCACCATCCTCTGCCTTTGCAGCTTAAGGGAAAGTGGTTAAAACACAGCTCAACTTTGTGTTTTACCAACCCCCACTGCAAGAGTAAGCAAGCCCTAAGTAAGTTGTTTCACTCAATAAATGCCAGTTAAAACACTTTCTGATTTTACATTATTCTGGCCTGTACGAAAGAACCCAAGGGCAATCCTGAAATTTATTAAACAAAATTTTGAGTTTGAAAGACAGAATTCTGAGATTGAAAGTCAGAATTCTGAGATTGAAAGTCAGAATTCTGAGATTCAAAGTCAGAAATCTGGGTTTCAAAGTCAGAATTCTGAGATTAAAAGTCAGAATTCAAAATTTTAAAAAGTCACAACTCTGAAACTAAACCTCAGAATCCTGAGTTTCAAAGTCAGAATTCTGAGATTAAAAATCAGAATTTTAAGTTTCAAAGTCAGAGCCTCAGAATTCTGACTTTTAATCTCAGAAATCTGACCTTGAACCTCAGAATTGTGTTTAATACATTTTAGGATGGTCCTGGGGCTCTTCCCTAGGCTGGAGCCAACTGACCAGCTAAAGAATATTTTTTATAGTGAAGTCTGCATATACAGTGATACAGTGTACTTACAATGTTACATAAAGTGCATTTTTTCTCTTTTTAAAAAACCCATACACAGCTTTTTTTTTTTCCTGCAGTCTTCTTGCCCACCCGATGACGTCACTGCAGCTCCTTCTTTTTCCAGCAGCGGTGGGCATTCGTCAGTACTAAGCAGCATGATGTGTGAGTGTTGTTCTAACCTGGAGTACTGTAACCCCAGTCTGCATGGTAATGTGCCTCTAATGGCTCATGTAAATGACAGGCTGGGCTCACAAGAAATGGGCAGAATGGGCAGATGGTTTTCAGACACTGGACCAAGGTAGAAGTCAAGGACAGTTCTGGACCATGGACAGTGAATATTGGCACTATATTGTATGTAAATAGAAGAGGGGGACTTAAAAAATTGATAAAAAATGTAATTCTACCTCTCAGAAATGCTAATCCAGTTGATGAAAACCCACAGAATTAGTACATATGTGAGGCAGCCAACTGGCTGGTATTTTAGCAGTATTGTTATCAAAAACGGGACTTACTGCCAGTGTTATTAATAGGAAAGCAATCATAAGGCCTTGCTTGATCTGGATGACAGTTTTAATAAAAATCTGCACAAAATACTGGCACATTACTGATATAACTGAAATGTCATATCACACAATCCTTGCAAAGCATCTTCCCTTCTGCTTCTGTTGAATCGATTTACACTTCATAGTCGCTGTAAAACAATTAAAGGACCAACATGTTCATTTAAAGAGACCTTGTCACCCCAAGGTCACTTATAAAAGAAGCTCAGTCCTGTAAGGGCTTATTTCCATATGCATTAGCCCTCTGAAGAGTGATCCATGGTGGATCATTCTTCAGAGGAAGTTTGATAGGCAGTAAGGAGGTGTCACCCCCTCACTGCCTGTTTTCACACAAAAAAATCTGCACCACCATGCAGGGGCAGACTGACAACTCATGGGGCCCCCGGGCAATAGGGGATCATGGGGTCCCTGTGTCCTTGCCCAAACTCAAAAAAGCCTATGAAAAAGGTACCAGGGGCGTCTCACGGGGCCCCCTACTGACCCGAGTTTTCAAATGGTCAGTCCGCCCCTGCCACCATGCCACAACCACATGCCCTGCGATGCAGCCCCATTCACTTAAACGGGTTGCATGTAGCGGGTGCTACTGCTGGCCAAATGCAACAGCGGGGATCATTTTTTGACACATTCACTGTCTATGCATCTTAACCACTTGCTTACCGCCCTATAGCAGATATACTGCTAGAGAACAGCCCCTCTGTGAAAAATCACGTATATATACGTGATTTTGCAGTTCCAGCTAGGGGGGGCACACGTGCCATTAGTTGCAGCGGATGTCAATCACTGGGTCTCCGCCAGTGACTCTTGGCCGGCACTCGGTGATCGCTGCTAAAGCTGAGAGGAGAGATCTGTGTGTAAACAACACAGATCTCTCTCCTGTCAGCATGGACATGCTGCTTTGTATCTCTGGAATACAGCAGAGAAATACACAGCAGCATGTCTCCCAAATAAAACTCAGCACACAGTGTAAGCACAACATAACACACAGTTAACCCTTTGATCATCCCAGATGTTAACCCCTTCCTGCCCAGTGCCATTAGTACAGTGTCAGTGCTTTTTTATTAGCATTGATCACTGTATTAGTGTCACTGGGGATGTCAATGGCCTTTAGTCAGTTCCCAACCAGTGTCAGAATGCCCGCGGCAGTCCCACAGTCCCACTTTAAGTCGCTGATCGCCGCCATTACTAGTATAAAAAATAAATTTGTTGCACAGGATTACTAAAATTTGACTTCTGGTAAAATCAGTGAGCCAATCATACAAGCAGATAATGACATTTCTGTGGGGCGTTCCATACACCATCTGTGTACAGAATGCCTCCAGGTCACCATATTGCACTGAATTTTACAAAAATTTACAGAGCTCCATTGAAAAGGAAATGTCATTTTTAATAACATTCAATTGCAATTCGGCTTTCATAGCAATTGTATATGCTGTATTATTTTTTTTTATTTGCTATTTTTCCCACAAAAGTGGAGTTACCCTTTAAAGAAGTCCATTCATACTTACCCTTCCAGAGTCTTGTGACTTTAAAAGCCTTGGCTTCACTGGTCCCTGATTGTTGCATGTATCTGACCCTTCCGGGCGGCTTAACTACCTGTTCCCCTCACGGCATGTGGTGTCCTTCACCCAAAACAATTCCCCCTCCGAGCACAAATTCCCTCTCCCCTATACCATATCACCTCTTCTAGTACACCCCCCCCCCCAATGTCCCCCTCCAAGCACAAATCCTCTTCCCCCATCCCCCCTCCCAACACAAATCTCCCCAAATCGGCATTCCTACCACACACTGCAAATTTGTCCTCCTAGAACAATTCTTACCCTCTGCCACCCTCCAAATCTCCCCCCCCAATCTCCTCACGGTGCCCCCCATCTCACATGATACTGCAGTGCCCAGCCGCCGCTCCTGCCTATGCATTGTCCTGGTCCTGCTGCCAGGCAGGGCTATGTTTTGTGCCAGAGCTGTGTAAATCTCAGGACTGTATGGACAGAAATACAATTCATTTGTCAGGTAAACTGCTTTCATTTATGTATGTCATCTAGACTAGACAGACTAGTGGGGTACAATACGTGGAGTGGAATGGACTAATGGAACTTTCAGCACTTTGGATATGTGGGCTAGTGAGATGAGTTGGTTTCAAACATTTGTAGTGAAACAGTAACTGATCGTACAATTTCCACCAAACTAACTGTTAGGATGAAGGTAAACAAAGTCATGTCACATAACAATGTTTATTGAAAAAAATAGGTTTAATCGAGCCATAAATGCCAATCTTAGACCAAAGAGACTGGTAATTCCAGTTCTATGACGCAGGGAACCTACCTTCGATGGTTCATAAGCAGTTCCCGGTGGAGCTCCTGGTGACTTCTAGATGCTTTTACGATTTTGAAGTTTCTTGGGTTTGATGAGTTCAGTGTTTGCCTCCAGATAATCAGGATGAGCCAGAATACTTCCTATATCAGGAGGGTCCCTCTGTATATCAGAGTACATGGAAGCTGCAGACAGAACACACATGTAAGATTGAAACTTGCATTGCCGTATGTCATTGTTAAGTCTACTATATAAGGAAATGTGTACTGGGTGGATATGGAAGATGCCACTGATTACCTTTTATAAAAATGCTAGATACCTGGCTGTCATGAAGATCCAATGGCTTCAGTAATTTCCAAGTTCCAGACCTGGAACAAGTATGTAGATTCTAACTTCACTCTTATTCTGTGATCTACCTTCTGGTTCTAGATCCATGACACAGAACGTAGTAAAGCCAAAGACAGCCAGGTAATTGGTATTATTACAGGGAGATTAGCAATGGCAAATCTTGTATATTTCTCTCTGCCCATTTCCCTTTAATAATAACTATGCTGGTCCTCAGGAAAAATAATGACTTTCTATATTACTACCATATTAAAGCATGCCTAAATCCAATAACAAATACAGTATTGACGAGGTGGTATCAAAAATTTGGAAACTAGTCTAAAAACATACCAACAGATGGCAGCACAAGGCTGCACACACAGTCACAGGGAGCAAAGGCACCAAATTGAAGGACTGGTAAACTGGAATATATTACAAGATGGTATCAAAAAGTTTCGAGACTAGTTTTGCAACACACCAACACATGGCAGCACAAAGCTGCATGCACAGTCAGAGGGAGCACCAACCTTCATAAGTCAGTGTGCCAAAAGACATTGTCCTGTGTACATCGGGAGCTGTGCAACTGGTGCTATTCTGGCTACGTGCGTTACCACATCTGCTATTTCATCATAGACAGCGAGTTAGAACAAAGCAAACATGAAATTCTGTGTGAAACTAGGCAAATCTCTGAATCTCTACAATGTTGTCAAAACGGCAACCTTTAAGCTGGATCTTCATCTTCGGGAAGAGGACATTTTCCGGGGCTGAACTCGTTGAAGGTCTTCCTGATCTCTCGTCGTCTTCCAGTGATGTTTTTCTGCTCTTGAAGCACACGTACCCCTCAAAACACCTAGAACAACTCATTGCAGCATCACTGTAAACTTGCCAAATCATGTCAAACTTCTCTGTGGCAGATTTGCCAAGTTTCACGCAGAATTTCACCTTTTCTAACTTGCTGTCCATGATTAAATAGCAGACGTGGTAATGCACATGGTCAGAATAGCACCAGTTTCACAGCTCCCGTTGTACACAGGGCAATGTCTTTTGGCACAATGACTTATGAAGGTCAGTGCTCCCTGTGACTGTGCATGCAGCCTTGTGCTGCCATGTGTTGGTGTGTTACACAACTAGTCTTGAAACTTTTTGATACCATCTTGTAATATATTGCAGCTTACCAGTCCTTCAATTTGGTGGTTGTATTTGTTCTTCAGGCCTTATGTCTTCATTTTCACCGGTTGATCCTACCAGTAACACACTTTCTGTTCTAGAATGACAAAGCTCACTCACCCTACGGTATCTATGGAGGAGCAGCTTTGCCATCCTAAGACAGGGATAGTGTTAAGACTACAAAACATTTTCTCTCCCCCTTTCCTCTTCTCCATAACATAGGAGATGTTCTGTAGTCTTCAGAGAGAGCTAGAAACAATGCAACTGATAACAGTGCAGCACCGAACATTATCAGCTCACTGGATTTCTGGCTGGATCAACAGGCATTTTTTTGCAATTGTCACACAGATATAATAAAACACTTTTCAAACTAAATGAGAGCAAAAAAAGGAAAGTTCATTGTTATGGTTTACATACACTTTAAGGGCAACAGAGCACCAAATATCCAGTGTTGAGACTAGTAGTTCTGTCTGTAGTATACTAATTACAGTAGGTTGTAGAGCTCCTCCATTCAGAAGAAGCCTTGTATCCTTTCCACTGTATGCAAGGATTACTGTGATTGCAGGAGGGGCCGGATGGAAGTCAGGATCTCCCCATCCTCCAATCAGTCAAAAGGATACAAGGCTTCTTCTCAGTAGAGGAACTGTATGAGTGACCTGCTGTAATTAACACCTTTTTATCTAATGGTCGCCTCTGATGACCACACATTAGGGGAGATTTACTAAAACTGGTGCACACAGAATCGAGTGCAGCTGTGCATGGGTGCCAATCAGCTTTTAGGTTTTATTGAACTTGCTTAACTGAACAAGCTGAAGTTAGAAGCCGATTGGTTACTATGCACAGCTACACCAGATTCTGTGTGCACCAGGTTTAGTAAATCCCCCAAGTTTGTTCCATTTTGGGGCCTCATCCCTTCGACCATTGCTCACTGGTACCTGACAGCAGCCTAGCACAGTGCACCATCCATATTTTACATGGAAACAGTCATCTTCTGCTGGATTAGGTTGCCTGACCCTAGGACAGGTACAGAGCAACTTTTTGAATGTGAGTATATGCTTACCATACTTTTTGCTATACTTTTGTAGCGTCCTCTAGGTAGCTAGATTTGCTGATTTGTTAGACAGAGGCTGGGTAGCAGTCTGGGAGTGTGGTAGTGAGTTCACCTCAGGACAAGCTGGGAGGCTCTACAGGTCAGGGCTTCTGGAGCCCTCTCCCCTTACAGAAACTCAGATAACTTTCTGGAAGAGGGGCAGAGGAGAGGAGACTTCCAGATCTGCATGTTTAAGGGAACGTGGCCTATCCCCAGGCAGGAGGTTTGGGCATAGTGACCAAGGACATCCCTTAAATGTGGCAAAGCCTGAGCAGCAGGGGAGTTGAGTGGAAGATGGATTGAGAGAAGACTGGAGAGCTCCCGCTTGCTGTCTCAGCCAATGAGGAGGCAGAGAACTGGGACAGCCGAGGCTGCTGTGCACATCGATGGATCGCGATGGGGCTCAGGTAAGTATTGAGGAGGCTGGGGGCACTGTTGCACACAGAAGGTTTTTTAGCCTTTACAACCGCTTTAAATGTGAGAGAGCCTGAACAGCAGGGTTGTTTTTAGAGTCAGGTGGAAGATGGACTGAAGGAAGGTGCAGGAGTGGGGAGCCTGGGAGGGGGTCCCAGGGAGGGGAGCCTACCTGCAGGCAGGATGCTGGAGAGGAGGATCTCCACTACCCAAGGTCTCTTAGGGAAAAACATCCTGAGCAGCATGGAAGGAACCAGCGCAGAGAAAGGCCTGAAAGCATCTACCAACCCACCATACTGACAGGACAGGACACTGTGAGTACTCCTATATCCCCTGGGCCAGATAAAGGGAGAAGGCGGTCAGGTCCAAGACCCAACTAGTTCTCATCCGGGACTACTTAATAGCTAGATCTTGGAATCCCTTGCCCAGGGATACCCTCAGTGCAGCTGGGTGAAGAGGAAGGATTAATCTGGGGTCTGAAGAGGTACACCAAGGGGGCTTAGAGCTCTGTAAAGAGACAGTGCTAATTTGGATCCACATTTTTTTTTGTACAGTATACAGGTTATTAAGAAGTTTGTCCTCAGTTTACACTTCCTTAGGAATCCCATATACCCCTAGAACCCAACAAAGTTGTTAACCCCTTGATAAAATCAACTAAAAACCTGCTCAAGAACTGTTTACTGACTCTAAACATGGAAATCTGATAAATGTATGTTGCCTGGCTGTGCAAAGCTTAGGGGGACCCAAAACAAATCCAGCAGTGGTAGTGCTACTCTTTCTATACATGTAATACTGAACAAGACTGTAAAGCCTAGTACACACGATGAGAAAATCGGACAAAAAAATCTGCATATGGAGTGGTCATCTGATAATCTGTTAGTACACAGCTTTCGAGAGCCAATCATAGCAGTTAATGCGATAATATCTGAAGGGACAATCATGAAAATGTTTCTAGTACAATAACAGAATGAATGACTTTCATTTATTCAGAACAGTACAGGGGCAGACTGACAACTCATGGGGCCCCCGGGCAATAGGGGATCATGGGACCCCTGTGTCCTAGCCCACACTCAAACTACACCCAAAAAAGCCAATGAAAGATACCAGGGGCATCTCATGGGCCCCCTAGTGACCCCAGGCCCGAGTTCTCAAATGGTCAGTCCGCCCCTGGTACAGTATTCGTCCGTAAAAAAATCAAGTGACCAAGACCGCGCATGCACAGAAACGAAAGAATACATTACAATACATTGCATCACCACGGGATGTTATATTCTCTCTTTTGAGTATTTTTGCAACCTTCAGTAACCTCTCATTTTCGATATGAGACTAGCATGCAAAAAAAAAAAAAAAAAGAAACAGACGATCATTCGTCCGGTATTCTCATCTTGTGTACGAGGCAGGGGCGGACTGACAACTCATTGGGCCCCCGGGCAATAGGGGATCATGGGGCCCCTGTGTCCTTGTCCAAACTCAAAAAAGGCTATGAAAAAGGTACCAGAGGCATCTTATGGGGCCCCCTACTGACCCCAGGCCCTCGGGCACTGCCCGAGTTTCCAAATAGTCAGTCTGCCCCTGGTATGAGGCTTAAGAATGATCTTTCCTGTGGCATTATATCCCTCTTTTTCCCTTTGTCTTTGCACCCGTCTGCTCACCTGGAGCACCACTGACTTATCTCATGTAAAAGGTGCCCTTTAGTACGGATGATGCCAGTAAATTCTATCCACCATACCCCAGTCACTCCACAATGAGAGTTTCCTGTACAGCTTAGCGATGTAAGAATTAATTTTGCATCCATTCAAATCGTTCTATTAAATAAACATGAATTCTTGGTAGTGTTAACTTAGCAGCTGCGTTATAGATCAGAGTTATTCACTGGCAGGAACACTCCAGGAACGCACAAGAGCATTCTACAAGTCGTGTGTAATTAAAAAAAAATCTTTTACTAATCCTATACACTGGTAAAGCTGCTGCAGTGGAAGGCAAGAGAAACAGACATCCTGGTGCATCAAAAGCTGGTAAACTTGAGAGGTTTTTATCATCCTCTCAGAACCGCATGCAAATTAGTGCTTAAGCACTTTAAGGCCAATTCTGACACTTTTGTTTACATTTAAAAATATGTATTTTTTTGCTAGAAAATGACATTGTATATATTTTTTTACCCACTTCCTGTCCGGACACTTTCACCTCCTTCCT